AGCAGTAGCAGTACACTAGCAAAAGATACAATGAAACATAGCAGTGAATGTAGTTAGAGCAGGTTTATACAGGATATTGTGCAGTTAACCGGCATTTCAAAATCAACAAAGGAGGCGGCAGAGAAGGCATTGAGGCCGTCATGAAAACTATGGATATGCCAAGAATTCATGGAAAGGAGCCAACCTAAAAGTGATTTTTTGTACTGTAGTTTTGGTGGGGTTTTTGTTTGTTTGTTTGTTTGTTTGTTTTATCATCAGGGAAATGACACAGGCAAGAGCACAGATAACAGGCTAAAAAGAGTTGTAAAACATGAGTTTTGATCGGAAATTCTGTTGTGTTAGCTTAGGTGATCAGCAAAGTCATTAGCCAACTCCATCCCAGTGAGTATTTCAGTTTCTTTGTTTTTCATGTTTTGACCAAAAGGGGTGACACTAATCTGACATTGCTTCATCCACAGAGCACTGTATTTAGTTGGCTAAAGAGTAATATGGTTTGGACAATGTAATTAATTAATTAATGTGGTACATGTCAAGTTGATAATCTAATGAGTAAGTAAGCAGCAAACACAATGGATGAATTGACATAAGTACAATTATGAATACCCATCTCTTTAGTCCAAAATCAATTCAGCTTAAAATTAAGTCAAAACTTATTATCATGTTTCAGAAACAATGAAGTCGTCAACCACCATAATGTGAAGACTCTGTAATTACAAATACTGGAACAGTTCAACCACAGAGTGAATACATGGAGCAACCATTTCCAGGTTGGAAGAGCTACTATAATAGAAAATCATAGTCCTGCACATTTTGTTCTAACCTGGTTTGAACTTGTATGACTGCTTTGGTTATAAGCTTGAAATGGGAATCTGTTCCCTACCTGTATGCTCTTTATGCAGATACTGTCGCAGTACAAACTAAAGGAGTAGTTTGTCCTTGAACATGCAAGTGATTCCTTCTTTCTTTTTTCTATACAAGTTCCATGTACACTCTTTGTTGCAATATCAGTCCTGCAATTGCCACTCTGTGTGACTGTACACTGATACTTTGTAAAGCTCTTATAAAATATACAAAGAACGACTTGATCATGTTTGTAATATATTTTATTTTAGTGCCTCGATATGAAATTGAAATTTAGACAATCCATGAGTTTTAGGGTGTTTGAATTAAGATGTGTTTCTTGTTCTTTATGTCTTTGCTGTGCTAATGTATGTGTTCAAATGATTGTTTTTCATATAAATAATAAAAGATATGATTGTTTTTCACATATTTCTTTTTCTCTTAATAAATCCTTTAACACTGGCTGTTGATGATGTTTCTCTGTCAAATCCACAGGATTGTAAACTGTTCATAGTGGCGCTTAGTGCAGTATATTTTAAATCAAAGGAATGCTCCATGTACTGACACAATGATCACACACTGTAATAACAGTATAGTATACCAGCCTTCATCTCCTAAGAGGTAATTTTTTTGCTGTTTCTTCTGGTGTTCCTCAGAAACGCACAAAGATACATTATATAGAAAACTTATGAGAGTAAAAGCCGTGAAATATTTTGAGTTTGTGTTTCGCGTCTGAAAATGAAAAGACGGTAAAGCTCAAATCACAATAATGCGCAATACGAAAATACTCTTTCAACAAACACCATTTTCAAAGTAATACTAACCTTATCAACGAACATCAGTAAACTGCTAGTATAAGTTTCCACTCCTAAGTGCGTCTTGTAAAACCAAGCCCTGCCTTGTTTACAAGTGAGTGGAAGTTCACCAACAGTCACTTGAAGGGCAGCCACGTCAAACAGAAAGCCGGAAACTATTTCAAAGTTCAAACCAAGCACGAGTAAGAAACGGGAAGGATTCACATGAGTGAAGAACGCAGAGTTTGGTACGAGTCTAAAACTTTCACACCGTGGTCGATTTTCTTGCTTTTCACAACATGGATGGTGAGTTACATTGATTGGTTTGAATCATTTTGTGACAGGCACTAACTTTGGTTGGACACACACATAAATGTAAAGAACACATTTTAAACGGTGCTAAAGTGTTCATTTTGCGCTGGCAGTAACAACCTTTTCATGACCTCTCCTCTGCTGACTCTCACTCAAACTCACGGGTTTTTTACCTGGTTGTGGTTTCTGGTAAAATAGGCGCATGAGATGCAGAATAGCCGAGAAATCAGAAACAAACAGAAGGCTTTAAGAATCGTTCTAATCAAGGATCTAGTTCAACTGTGTCATGATTACTTTTTCCTCTTGCTGAAATACGTTTTCCTAAAGTTGGGCTGTTTCCTATAATGAATGATCCCAACACAACATAACACCATACTCCAGCTGGCGTAAAAGTTCCTGCTCTCTTTCTTCGCTCTCTCTTCTCAAAAATTACTTCATGCACACACCACGCCAAATTCACCAAGCCGCTTAAATAATACACAGATACTATTCGATAACTTCCTTGTTGTTTAACAAACTTAGTCCAAAATGAATTCATTAATACAACATGACCTATACAGACAAACAACCCAGTACCACACCTGCAGAGGCCTGTAGACAATCACAGTCTCATCTGTTCAGGGTAAGGTTTAACCTCTTAATGGGTGCTGTCGTGTGGTGCTTATTTTCAGTGTATAAACTCATACACAATCTCAAGTGGACTGAATTAAATGACAATAACCACATAAAAAAGAATGACGTACAGGTTTACATGGGACTTTAGTGAAACAGTATGCCACAGAGACACGAAGGGGCTGTGCATTTCACCTAACCCTAATTAGAAGAGGAAGGACATTGTCCTGTCTCATGGTTGGTGAGGTAGTCGGTAACTATGTCATAGAATTTAGACTTGTATTTGGGTCCTCAACAAACAACAGTCAATGAACAACTTGACATGTATGTCCTGCCTTTGGAGAGTGTGCCCTGTGATCATCCACTTCTACAGCAATGATTGGCGACATGTTTTAGTGAAAGCGTAGTTTAGTGTCAAACTCTGCAAATGTGTGTAGCAGCTCCACAGAATTGGTCTCGTTTGAGCTGCGCTCGGACTCATTCTTTCCCGTGAGTGCCTGTTCTTGGCGGATAAGATACAAAGCTGCAACACTGAGTCCCTGTTGTATTTCTTTGTTGTGCTTCTTGTCAAGTCCAGAGCCTTGTCATTCCTTAATTGATTTAATTGCCCATGACCATCACCCAGTCGCCCATAACAGGTTGGCAAATGATGAATCCTGGAATACGCCAAGGATTTTTCAGTGAGCATGAATCCTTGTGAGAAAGCCCAGCAAAATAACTACAGAAGTTTAGCTCTACCAGCTAGCCGCTCCTTGCAGACATGATTTTCCTCATTCAAAGTCACAGGTTGTGTCCAAAATCATTCACTCATTCACTATACTCCCAATTCACTATCCAGGGAGTTCTATGTAGAGGACTATATAGTGAGCTCATCTGTAAAATGATGCATTATTGGATACTGTGAGACCACTATTTAGGATAATTTGCATAATCCTTTTTTCTTCTCAGTATGTAGCTCTAGTTTTGCTGTTGGCCTGCTGTCAGATTTAATTTAAAAGTTCCTGATGTAATGGTAGTTCAGTAAAATTATTAATTTTTTTACTAAAAATCTGCCCCCTCCATAACTACACTTGCTAATGTTAAAGGTGGACTAGCACAGTAAAGAAGTTACTGCTATTCCTGTTATTATTTCTTTACACTCTATATTTCCTGCACATCACAGTTAATTTTTAGACATTTTTAGGGACCATGCGTCATGAAAAAAGAGCAAGAAAGAGACAGTACTGATAGTGATTATTTTCTCCTAGTGCAAAACGCATGGAGGATCGTCCTGCTTGGAAAAACTGGAGCTGGGAAGAGCAGCCTTGCTAACACCATATTTGGAAAAGATGTATTCAAAGTCACTCATTCTCTCAACTCAGGAGCAAGTATTTGTCAAGCAAAGTCTGGATCTGTCAAAGGAAGAAGCCTCACTTTGATCGACACTCCTGGTTTCATCAATCCAGACAGGTCTGAGGAAGAGCTGAAGCCTGATATACTTGGGTGCATCACAGAGTGCGCTCCTGGGCCTCATGCTTTTCTTATTGTGGTTAAAGTAGAGAAATTCACAGAGCAGGAGAAGGAAGTCATCACTAAAATATGTCAATACTTCTCTGAGGAAGCTTTGAAATATGCTGCAGTTGTCTTCACACATGGTGATCAGCTCCCTGAAGGAATGAAAATTGAGGAGTTTGTCAACCAGAATGATGATCTGAGTGATCTGATGAAGAAGTGCAGCGGTCGGTGCCATGTTGTTGACAATAAATACTGGAAAAAAAACCAGCAGGATGAATACAGGAGCAACCAGTTCCAGGTGTCGGAGCTGCTCAATACGATAGAGAGGATGATGACGGAAAACAAGGGAGTCTGCTACACTGCTAAGATGCTGAAGGAATGGCAGGCACAAGATGAGCGCATTAAACCATCATCACCCTTTTTACACAGCATCTTAAAGTATTTGATGAAAAATGCAAGAAGGAGATTAGTGAGAGCTACTGTTGCAGTGATCTTAGGCGTGCTGTTCATCTCAAAAGTGCTGAAAAACCAAGCAGCAGCAAAGGGAGTAGAAACACACACTTCCCTGTAGCAGGCAGAGTAACTGAAGGTTTTAAAGTTTCTGTAAACGACNCCTCAGAAACCACAAAAAGATACATAATATAGAAAAACTTATGAGAGTAAAAGCCGTGAAATATTTTGAGTTTGTGTTTCGCGTCTGAAAATGAAAAGACGGTAAAGCTCAATCAACAATAATGCGCAAATACGAAAATACTCTTCAAACAAACACCATTTTCAAAGTAATACTAAACCTTATCAACGAACATCAGTAAACTGCTAGTATAAGTTTCCACTCCTAACGTGCGTCTTGTAAAAAAGCCCTGCCTTGTTTACAGTGAGTGGAAGTTCACCACAGTCACTTGAAGGGCAGCCACGTCAAACAGAAACCGAAACTATTTCAAAGTTCAAACCAAGCACGAGTAAGAAACGGGAAAGGATTCACAGAGTGAAGACGCAGAGTTTGTACGAGTCTAAACTTCACACCGTGTCGATTTCTGCTTTCACAACATGGATGGTGAGTTACATTGACTTGTTTGAATCATTTTGTGACAGCACTGAACTTTGGTTGGACACACACATAAATGTAAAGAAAACATTTTACGGTGCTAAAAGTGTTCATTTCGCTGCAACAAACTTTTCATGACCTCTCTCTGCCTGACTCTCACTCACTCACGGTTTTTACCTGGCTGTGGTTTCTGGTAAAATAGTGCTGCAGAATCAGAATGAGAATCAGAAACAAACAGAGGCTTTAAAGAATCGTTCTAATCAAGGATCTAGTTCAACTGTGTCATGATTACTTTCCTCTTTGCTGAAATAGTTTTCCTAAAGTTGGGCTGTTTCCTATAACTGAATGATCCCAACACACATACACATACTCCAGCTGGCGTAAAAGTTCCTCTCTCTTTCTCTCGCTCTCTCTCTCAAATTACTTCATGCAACCACCCACCCAAATTCACCAGCCGCTTAATAATAACACAGATACTTTCGATACTTCCTTGTTGTTTAAAACTAGTCCAAATGAATCATTATACAACATGACCTAACAGACAAACAACCCAGTACCACACCTGCAGAGGCTGTAGACAATCACAGTCTCATCTGTTCAGGTAAGGTTAACCTCTTATGGGTGCTGTCTGTGGTGCTTATTTTCAGTGTATAAACTCATACACAATCTCAAGTGGACTGATCAAATGACAATAACCACATAAAAAAATGCACATGTACATGGTTACATGGGCACTTTAGTTAAACAGTAAAGCCACAGAGACAGAAGGGGCTGTGCATTTCACCTACCCTATTAGAAGAGGAAGGACATTGTCCTGTCTCATGGTGGTGAGGTAGTCGGTAACTATGTCATAGAATTTCAGACTTGTATTTGGGTCCTCAACAACAACAGTCAATGAACAACTTGACATGTCTGTCCTGCTTGGAGAGTGTGCCCTGTAGATCATCCACTTCTACAGCAATGATTGGCGACATGTTTAGTGAAGCGTAGTTTAGTGTCAAACTCTGCAAATGTGTGTAGCAGCTCCACAGAATTGGTCTCGTTTGAGCTGCGCTCGGACTCATTCTTTCCCGTGAGTGCCTGTTCTTGGCGGATAAGATACAAAGCTGCAACACTGAGTCCCTGTTGTATTTCTTTGTTGTGCTTCTTGTCAAGTCCAGAGCCTTGTCATTCCTTAATTGATTTAATTGCCCATGACCATCACCCAGTCGCCCATAACAGGTTGGCAAATGATGAATCCTGGAATACGCCAAGGATTTTTCAGTGAGCATGAATCCTTGTGAGAAAGCCCAGCAAAATAACTACAGAAGTTTAGCTCTACCAGCTAGCCGCTCCTTGCAGACATGATTTTCCTCATTCAAAGTCACAGGTTGTGTCCAAAATCATTCACTCATTCACTATACTCCCAATTCACTATCCAGGGAGTTCTATGTAGAGGACTATATAGTGAGCTCATCTGTAAAATGATGCATTATTGGATACTGTGAGACCACTATTTAGGATAATTTGCATAATCCTTTTTTCTTCTCAGTATGTAGCTCTAGTTTTGCTGTTGGCCTGCTGTCAGATTTAATTTAAAAGTTCCTGATGTAATGGTAGTTCAGTAAAATTATTAATTTTTTTACTAAAAATCTGCCCCCTCCATAACTACACTTGCTAATGTTAAAGGTGGACTAGCACAGTAAAGAAGTTACTGCTATTCCTGTTATTATTTCTTTACACTCTATATTTCCTGCACATCACAGTTAATTTTTAGACATTTTTAGGGACCATGCGTCATGAAAAAAGAGCAAGAAAGAGACAGTACTGATAGTGATTATTTTCTCCTAGTGCAAAACGCATGGAGGATCGTCCTGCTTGGAAAAACTGGAGCTGGGAAGAGCAGCCTTGCTAACACCATATTTGGAAAAGATGTATTCAAAGTCACTCATTCTCTCGACTCAGGAGCAAGTATTTGTCAAGCAAAGTCTGGATCTGTCAAAGGAAGAAGCCTCACTTTGATCGACACTCCTGGTTTCATCAATCCAGACAGGTCTGAGGAAGAGCTGAAGCCTGATATACTTGGGTGCATCACAGAGTGCGCTCCTGGGCCTCATGCTTTTCTTATTGTGGTTAAAGTAGAGAAATTCACAGAGCAGGAGAAGGAAGTCATCACTAAAATATGTCAATACTTCTCTGAGGAAGCTTTGAAATATGCTGCAGTTGTCTTCACACATGGTGATCAGCTCCCTGAAGGAATGAAAATTGAGGAGTTTGTCAACCAGAATGATGATCTGAGTGATCTGATGAAGAAGTGCAGCGGTCGGTGCCATGTTGTTGACAATAAATACTGGAAAAAAAACCAGCAGGATGAATACAGGAGCAACCAGTTCCAGGTGTCGGAGCTGCTCAATACGATAGAGAGGATGATGACGGAAAACAAGGGAGTCTGCTACACTGCTAAGATGCTGAAGGAATGGCAGGCACAAGATGAGCGCATTAAACCATCATCACCCTTTTTACACAGCATCTTAAAGTATTTGATGAAAAATGCAAGAAGGAGATTAGTGAGAGCTACTGTTGCAGTGATCTTAGGCGTGCTGTTCATCTCAAAAGTGCTGAAAAACCAAGCAGCAGCAAAGGGAGTAGAAACACACACTTCCCTGTAGCAGGCAGAGTAACTGAAGGTTTTAAAGTTTCTGTAAACGACCGTCACTGCCACTAGATGTCGCACTAGACCACCAGCATCTCAGAGCAAAACAAACGCTTCATCAGCCACACCTCCGGCCTCCCCTCACATAAAAACTAGATCTAGAGTGCAGTTTCTCACTTGTAAACATTTTTAGGTGCAGGTATTCACTTTCTGAGTTTTAGGAGTCTGCTTACTTTGTATTGTTCGTTGAGTACAAAAAATGTAAACTGAAAAATAAGATTAGTAGATAAATTTAGCAATTCACCATTTTTCTGTGCAGTTTCAGTTTGGGAAACGTGAAAATGAGAAAAGCAAATCTTTGGATGAAGATGTCCATGTCTAAACCATAATCCTGTAATTTTCTATGTGTAAGATGATGACTGAAATCAATGATTAAAGTGATTGAGAATTTGAAATCCTCTACAAGTTAATGAGTGGTTCTGGATTTCCCATGCTTGACTTACATGTTCTACAATGTCTGCTGAAAGATTTATTAAGCAATTAATCAACAAATAAAAAAGTTACAGTAAGATACAATAAGTCTTTTGAGTGATTCTTTTTAAATATAAACCTTTCTCAACATATGGCTGGTTTTACTTTTATTTTTGCTTTAATTTTGTCCATCTTAGTACATTTTTTGAGCAATTTGTCAAAACATGTCTCATGAAATGAGACTTTTTAAGAATATCAATATATCATTGTAGGCCACAAAATGTATTAATCAGTTGAGGCAGCAGGCTTCACTTACAATTTTCTTGTGTAATACTTGAGACCGATTGTTGGTTTTTTTCTGATGTACTGTAGCTATGCTCCATACTTTCTTTATGTCTTCATGTTTTGTTGTGCTGGCTTGCAGCTGTTCACACAGTTAATTGTACATTTTAACATTTTGTTGGTTCCTTTCTATCCATGTAAATTTCATCATAAATGTTCACAGAGAATTGTGGCTATTATCTACAATCAGCCACAGCCACAATCAGCCACACACTGTTGACTATATAACAAATGTCCATGTAAACAAGTCCTCCAACCTGAACAACCACATTCTCAACCCTCTGATACGATGAGTGTCTCCTGAAATAAGGCCCCTATTGAGAATGGCGTGCCTACTTTTGTCGCCATAGTTACTTTAATAAAGGTCAGGGTTTGGTTAGGTTCAGGAACAAAAACTACTTGGTCAGGTTTAGGAAAAGATTGTGATTTGGGTGAAAATAAATACTCCCTCAACATTAGATGATCTCAGCTGTTCATAAATGTTTTGTGTCTTCATTCACACAGGCTTATTTATGGAAATTTTTCTCTTTTAGAGTTAAACACAAGGAAAATTGTCATCTTGGGAAAAACTGGAGTTGGGAAAAGCAGCCTGGCCAACACCATATTTGGAGAGAAAGTGTTCAAGACCGACCACACCATCAACTCTGGAACAAGAGAATGTGAAGCACAAACCAGATCTGTCAAAGGAAGAAACCTCACTTTGATCGACACCCCTGGTTTCTTTGACACAGACAGAGCAGAGGAGGACACAAAGGCTGAGATACTGAGGTGTATCACAGAGTGCGCTCCTGGGCCTCATGCTTTTCTCATTGTGCTTAAAGTGGAGAAGTACACCAAACAGGAGAAGTCTGTCATTGAGAAAGTACAACAATATTTCTCAGAGGAAGCTTTGAAATATGCAACAGTTCTCTTCACTCACGGTGACCAGCTCCCTGATGGAATGAAGATTGAGGAGTTTGTCGACCAGAATGACGCTATGAAAGATCTAGTTAAGAAGTGTGGCAACCGGTGCCATGTCATTGATAATAAATACTGGAACGAAAACCTTAAAGATGAATACAGAAACAACCAGTTCCAGGTGGAGGAGCTACTTAAAACAATAGACAAGATTATGCTGGCAAACAGAGGAAGCTGCTACACCAATGAGTTGCTACAAGCAGTGCAAGAAAAAATAAAACAAGAGGAGGAGGAGATTAGAAAGTCATCAGGAAACATGTCTGGGGAAGAGATCAGAAAGAAGGCTAAAGCCAGTGTATTTAAGAGGTTTTGGATCAAATTGGCAGGTGTTACAACAGGTGCATTGATCGGAGCTCTTTGTGGCGTAGCTGTGATGGTTGGATTAGTTTATACAGTTTTACTGATGCGTGCAGAGGGAAAACTTTTAAAACAAGCTATAGAAATGACAATTGGAGCAGCAGCAGGAGGATCAGCAGCAGCTGGATCAGCAGCAGGAGCAGGAGCAGCAGCAGGATCAGCAGCAGCAGGAGCAGCAGGATCAGCAGCAGCAGCAGCAGGAGGATCAGCAGCAGCAGGATCAGCAGCAGCAGGAGGATCAGCAGCAGCAGGAGCAGGAGGAGCAGGAGCAGCAGCAGGGGGATCAGCAGCAGGAACAGCTGTAGGGACACTTACAGTGGTAGTTGCTGGAGTAGGAGCGGTGGCTGGTGGCATTAGAGGCTATGTTGCAGCCGAGGAGGCAGACACACCATGGGAAGCAGTAAAGATGGCAGCAGGGGCTGTCAAAGATGACGCCATATCTTTCTCTGATAATACGGCTGGGTTGTTAAACAGACTAATACATCCACAGTCAGGTCGGGATGGAAAACCAAACTGAGTGTAGACTGAGAATAGACTGCATGGAAAACTTGCTCTCAACTCGGCCTGATTAAGTTTACTCATAAATATTTACTGTATATGTGAGAAAAAGAACAAAAAAAAAAGAAATATATTAAATATTTTGTTTCAACTAACACTATGCAAGGTTTAAACTTTTGTTCTTTTGTTTTTGTGTCTGTTTTAAAAACTGACTATAGAGTGTCAGAGTTTGATGCGCTGTCTAGTGCATGAACTGTTAACAACCCAAAAACTTCTGACATCATCAATGACAGTTTTTAACTTCATTCATGAATTTGAATTGTTTTAATGAAACTTGTGTTCAAACCATTTAAAATATCTGTCACTATATCAAAAGCTAAAATCATTTGTTTAGTTTGTTTTGTCCTGCAGATGTAATGTAAATTGTGATTAATTAGGTAAGATTATTGTTTTACTACCATTTAATTAAATAAGAATTATATTAATAATAATGAACTTGAGGTCTGGTGTCCTTGCAAAACCAATGTAGTTTGCTGTGGATTATTATTACTGATGTGAAATTAATAAACTGGTATAGACGTGTAACATGGGACATGTGAGTGAACTTCGTTTGGATGGGATGGAGTCCATCTTTAGTGACAATATGGACTTTGAGTTTAAATTGCATCTTTCAAAGACTAACTGTAAAAATCTACTTTTTATGATACATCATGATACAATGACACAATCATTTCATACCAGAGGAGGGTAAAGATATTCACTAAGATATTGTAGAAAACAAAAAGTGACTGAGAAACCTGCTGACCTCTAAACCTAGACGTAAACCTTTCAGCTGAGACATTTAATCAACTGCATTAATTGTGTCACATCATACATTTATACTTTCTCCATTTTGGCAAAATTGTTACACCATTCCTGAGCTTCTTTATTAGTTCCCTTGATGCATGTGCAGCCATAACGTTCCCACGCCTATAAGTTGCCTCTATATATTTCACCACCATTTGTTCAGCCGAGGACCATCATTGATGACACACTCTGTGTCCTTTAATAAAATGCCTTGAAATGATCAATATCCTGTTTGAAAACCTGACAGCAGACTCATGTTATTTCTTATTTGAGCACAGCAGAGGGAATGAAATCCCCACATGGCCCCACCCTTCAAATAGCAAGTGAAAGAGAAAGTAGAATAAAACCAGAGTCAGAGCAGAGGAGAGAGGACACACAGAACGGTTGTCTGGTGGAGTCAAATGATTTACACTCTTCACTGATTTGTCTTTTAACAACAAGGGCGGTAAGTTAAGGTTACTTCTTTCAGTTGTTATTATTTGTTAAAACTGCTCACTGTATATTCATCTAGCTAGCTGTTGGCTGATGTAAAACATGGCAGCCATGAAAAACAATCCTCTATTTGTTCATCCATCATCATCCATCATGGTGTTACTCATCCGGCCAGCAACATTTCCGCAGTAGCCTATAGTACATGTCATCTGTATTATGCTGAGAGTTTTATCATGATATAGCAATTGATTAGACACATACACACTGATCAAATGTGTTGGTTGTGGGTAGAAATAAATCACCTCCATGAATTTAGTGCTCAGGAATCTCAAATTTGCAGTAAGATCCATTCGAACAAATAATTCAAGGAGGATGAGAGAGTGCCACTAAACACAAAGTGAAACTTTAAGCACCAAAAAACATCAAGCTGAGATGTACCAACCTCTAGATGGCAGCACAAAGCAACATAAGTTGGAGTGCAGAAGGAAATGCAGCTGCAGAATTTCACTGAGTATAGTGAGGAGAAGTTTATAGAGGTATGCCAAGGTTGAATATGTCATAGTTTTATCAAGATGTCTGATCAATGGGTGTGACGAGAATGACAATCGATGGCCTTGTGTGTGTGTGTGTGTGTGTGTGTGTAGTAAGCAGACTGCCTAATATATGTGGTTCATTTTATTTTCAGTATTTTTAAATAAATGTAGGTGTGAACTTCTGTGTTACAGGATAAGGTTCATACCTTTTAAACACTGGGACGTAATGATTTTGTAGATGATGTAAGCAGTTTTGCAAACACAGTGTAATTTTGAGCCTGAACTTACTGTTATTGTCGCCTATTTTGAAATCTATAGTGGCTAGAAATCTTAACAGTGGAGGAAAAACTGTGTGATACAGATTCTGATAGTATCACAAAATGTATTTTAATAACCACACTAAGAGTCTGTGGCCATTCTGGCAGCTCTGTCTGGCTGCTTTGATGGAAATGCTAACATGGGCATGACAATGCTAACATGTTGACGTTTAGTTGGTATAATGTTTACCATGTTCACCATCATAGTATTCTTAGTATTTAAGCATACTACCTTTGTTGATTGAAGCTGAGGCTTGGGGTAATGCCATTAGTTTTGCAGGTATTTGTTCATAAATCAAAGAACAAATGTACTGTAATTGAAAGAAAGCTTATTAGAAAACATCTATATTTACATATATCAGAAGTTGCTCTTAAGTAAATGCCTTAGTTGTTTAACTTACTGTTTGCAATTAATTAATCCAATGTTCAATATTAATGATGCATTCATTTTTCTCTTCTAGTTCTGACAGAGTCTGAGTGATCTGGTGAAGAAGTGCAGCGGCCGGTGTCAAGTCACTGATAATAAATACTGGAAAAATAACCAACAGGGTGAATTCAGCAGCAGCTAGTTGTAGGTGGCAGAGCCGCCCAACACAAGAGACAAGATGGTAAACAAAGAGATGGCACCAGCAGTGGAGGGAGAAATGCAGAATGAGAAAGTGCACATTAGACAGCCATCAGGAAACACGTCACAGGAAGAGATCAGCAACGGGACTAACAATATCCTCAAGAACATGTGCATCAAATTAACAGGGCCTGCTGCAGAATCATTGGGGGAAGCTTTCATTGGGCCAGCAGTCGTAGTTTTGCAGGATATCATGGGAGCAGGAAGAGGAGCAGAAAAGGGAATGGTAGAAGCAGAAGACACAGCAAACAGTGCAGAAGAAGAGAAAGAGAATATTATAAACAGAATTGTCAGAGGAGCATTGATGCAAACACCACCAGGACAAGGAGGTGAAGGAAGAGGTGCGCAAATAACTGAGAGAGATGGAGCCACATCAGGGGTCAAACCAGTGTCAGGTAAAAAGTGATCAGTGTTGGGACCAAATAATGGGAACATAATAATGGGAGCATTTTTAAATAATGTTTTTTTCTGATAGTTAACCTAATTTTAAAGAACAAAAGCAAAAAGATTATAATATTATTTCTCATGGGATATTAATGTTAAAAAAATGCACAATATGTACATTATCACAGCTCTATACTAATATTCAATGTAGTGTTTTGCATGTGTATATTTGCCAGTTTTTTGTAAGCCAGTGTTATCAATTCTATACTGGTTGTGAGATAACAAACCAAAGAAAACTTGCTCTTAATCATTTTTGCTCCTCTAGTGCCTCCGACCAGAATCGTCATCGCAGGAACAGCTGGAGCTGGGAAGACCATTAAAGGTAAAGACATATTTTGAGAGACATTGTTGTCCAAATGCTTCCAAGCAAGTTGTTGCCAGTCTCAGTATACATATTTTTAAATGTATGCTTCTTAACTGAAAAACATCTCCACACGTCAAGTGGCTAATTAAGAGTATAAAGCGGATCATAATACACTGCATTAATTTTCTACCATTACTCTCTAGTGCTCAAACAATACAGGATCATCCTGCTGGGAAAAACAGGAGCAGGGAAAAGCAGCCTGGCTAACACCATATTTGGAGAGGATGCGTTCAAGATAAATCATACTCCCAGTGAATGTCAGGCAGAGTCTAAATCTGTTCATGGAAGGAGAATCACTCTGGTTGACACTCCTGGTTTCTTTGATACAGACAGACATGAGGAGGAAGTAAAGAGTGGGATACTGAGGTGCATCACAGAGTGCGCTCCTGGGCCTCATGCTTTTCTCATTGTGGTTAAAGTGGAGAAATTCTGCAAGCAAGAGCAGGATGTCATCAACAAAATATGCCAAACTTTCTCTGAAGAAGCTTTAAAATATGCCGTAGTTGTCTTCACTCATGGTGACCAGCTCCCTGAAGGAACGAATATTGAGGAGTTTGTGGATCAGAATAAATGTCTCAGTGATCTGGTGAAGAAGTGCGGCGGCCGATGCCATGTCGTTACTAATAAATACTGTAAGAACCAACAGGGTGACTACAGGAGCAACCAGTTCCAGGTGGCAGAGCTGCTCAACACAATAGACAAGATTGTGATGGAAAACAAAGGAGGCTGCTATACCAATAAGATGCTGCAAGCAGTGGAGAGAGGAATAGAGGAGAAGGGCATTAGATCATCAGTGGGAAAGATGCCACAAGGAGACACCGGCTATACCCCAAATAACAGTGTCTCCAAGAATATGTGGATCAAATTAACAGGCCCTGCAGCAGAATCAATGGCCGAAGCTTTCTTGAGCCCAGCTGTGATAGTTTTGCAGGAAACTGTCGAAGGAGAGGCAGAAAAAGGAGAAGATGAAGATAAAGTAGAAGAAGAAGTAGAAGAAGTAGAAGAAGTAGAAGAAAAAGAAAAAGAAAAAGAAAAAGAAAAAGAAACAAAGAAAGAAGAACAAAAAACAGTACATAAAGGAAAAAAAGAAGCAGGAAATGGGAGCGGATTTGGAAATTTTTGGAGAAGTGTATTGGGATTTTTTTCTGGCTTAGGAGGAGCACTAATCATACCAGGTTTAGGTGTAGGGGGAGCAGCAGTGGCAGTATTTACAGGAGGAGTAGCTGCATTAGTGGGAGGAGTGATAGCAGCAGTAGTAGGAGTGTGGGGAGTAATAAAAATAATCTCACTTTTTCTATGGTTAAAACGAATATATGATCAATTAAACAATCTTTGGAAAAATCTAAAGAAATACAGTGGAACCATATTGCTGGTGGTTGTCTTCTGCTCACTGCTGCTGTTAGCATTTGGGAACTTACATTTATGGCTTGTATTATTATTATTATTATTTGTGTTGTCAGTATTATTCTTGCAATTATAGAAGTATGTAAATGTATTGTAAGTGTCACGACAACAGCCAGCAAAAATGGCTCACTTTCTTGTTATAACTAGACCCTGTTAATGTTATAACAAGATGTATTTTCTCTCTTTCCTTCTTTATTATATTTTCGCACGCTTACTTAATACCAAATTATTGTTTGTTTTTTGAAATTTACAAAAGACCTTCTTTCCAATATTGTTGTCACAAAACCTTATCATTTCACAAAACCAACATATCTCATTACAACAAACTTTTTTTTTTTTTGTTATTACTGTTGTTAAATGTTGTTATATCAAGAAATGTCCAAATGATGTTAAAAAAATTAAGAAGATAGAGACATCATGATCTAATCTACTAGAGACAAACTGGCTGGTTTTTATTAGGGTTTAGCTTGGGAATGGCTGAAGTATCATCCATCTTTGATTTGTTTCTATTCTTTCATTCACTTTAAGATAGAAAGGTGATTGTAACAAGGAGAAAGTCTGAACTGGAAATAGCTCCTGTAGTATCTGTTTGTTTTCTTGCTTAACATGCATTACAAAAAATAATATATTTGCTGCATTTCACTGTGTTTTATGTACTGTAGGCTACTGTATAGGTGCACTGAGTGTGGTTCTGGGTTCAGTCTGTTACTTGTCAGATTCATATTCCATTGATTAAAATGAAAATTGACTTGCACCATTTAGTTAACTCCTGTGTGTAAGAGCACATCGCTCACAGTATAGAGCAACCTGAGCCTCTAGATATCTCAGAAGAAAGAATCTAAAGATTTTTTGGAAAACAAAATGTTGATTGCATTTAAGAGACCACTTTAACTTCAAGTCTAAAGATGACAACCAATGAGTTAAGTCTTTGCTCAGTTGTCATTTTCTTTAATTTAGTAATTGTATCATATAACATTGCCTGTTAACTTTGACTTTTACTTCAGTAAAAAATTCTACTATTTCTGATTGCTATTTTATTATTATCATTTTGTTGCGTGTTGTGTTAATCCCGCTCTGTGAAGCACATTGGGCCACATGTTTGTATGAAAAGGACTATATGAATAAAGTTGAGCCAAATTGTGCTATTAGCGTTCTTTAGCACAGGTCTCATACATGATAATGATTTCATGCATTGCTGATATTACGACACTGTTGTTGCAAAAAACTTTATCAACCATTAAAAACATGAAAAAAACAGCATAAGAAATAAGAAATATTTTTGACATTCCTGATCAATGTTACAAGCTTTTCTGCTTTTCAGTATTATGAATCAACTTGTACTAACACTATCTTATTCTGAACTTGCACAGATAACAAAAACGTATAGGAACATTAATTAACAAAGAAACAAGACGACCCAACTTTAATTTAAGGAAGAGGACAAGGACAAAGGAAGAACAGGCTCACACTTTTGGGTCATTATCAGTTATTTTCAGTCATTTTCCTCTTTCTTGCTACATGGAAGGAAAAAACAAAACCATATTCAGGGTAGCAAATTTAGATATTACCATTCCATCTTGTTGTTCACTGAGCTGGATTCAGAGCAAGGTATATTTTCTACTTTTCCAAAAATTGATATCTAAAGAAATTTGTCTCACACTCACACTCTCTCTCACTCACACANATTTCATGCATTGCTGATATTACGACACTGTTGTTGCAAAAAACTTTATCAACCATTAAAAACATGAAAAAAACAGCATAAGAAATAAGAAATATTTTTGACATTCCTGATCAATGTTACAAGCTTTTCTGCTTTTCAGTATTATGAATCAACTTGTACTAACACTATCTTATTCTGAACTTGCACAGATAACAAAAACGTATAGGAACATTAATTAACAAAGAAACAAGACGACCCAACTTTAATTTAAGGAAGAGGACAAGGACAAAGGAAGAACAGGCTCACACTTTTGGGTCATTATCAGTTATTTTCAGTCATTTTCCTCTTTCTTGCTACATGGAAGGAAAAAACAAAACCATATTCAGGGTAGCAAAT